CTTCAACGTAGATTCGGCACCCTTTAGGAGCGAGACTATTCCACTGGTCTACTTGGCACCCAGAGACTCTTCAAGGCTTCTCGAACAAAGCGGCTGTCCCAAGCGAGACGGATCATGGTACTCTCGACATCCAACGAATGGACTCGGGCCGCAGAGACACTGCAAGACAGCATGAGAGAGAAAGTCATGAAAGGTAGGGCATCCCGATCCTGTCCTGCCGATCTTATTGGTGGCGAAGCCATATCAGCGCAGGTTGCCTGGGTGCCACCCTGCAACCACCCGCTCTGCCTCGCATACCTATCCATTTCATGTTCCTTCTGCTGATCCTGGGGTCTTTGCCTGCTCATTGAAATCCTATTTCTTCTGCTCAAGGCGTGTCCTAGTGGCCTTTGGCTATTGGCTCCCATGACCCCTTCGACTCTGTCAAGGGGGGGACGATCCAAGTGGGGAATGTGTCATCGTGTAGTTTGACGCTTGCAGTTCGCCTTGTCGGCCCACTAGCACTCCACTCTGTCGAACTTTTCAGATTCAGCGGGCCTCTGCTGTGCCCAGAGCCTTGGTACAGACGCGATGTGACCTATGTTGCAAAAGGTATATGTAGTACAGCTCCTGCCGGCTTGGACTTGACGCTCGGTACTTGTCTGGTCTCAAGCAAGCCTTCCTCCACTGCTTGTCCAGTCTTGACTTCCTTTAGACTCTTGGACAACCTCCACAGTCAACTGAAAAGACCTTGGCCGCCATGGCGATGAAGACGGCTGGCGGAAACGCCGCCTTCCACAATTTCCACAACGACTTTGCACATATCCAGGACCCCAACGAGCGACGACGACTTGCCCTCGCTGAGATCGATAAGGCTCCCTTTGGTTGGTACCATGTCCGTGCCATTGTGGTCGCCGGTATTGGCTTCTTCACCGATGCATACGACATCTTCGCCATCAATTTGGTGACGGCTATGTTGGGTGTCGTGTACTGGCAGGATGCTCCCAATCCCAAGAACGCAGGAAAGATTCCATCCAACTCGGATACTGCTATCAAAGTTGCAACCTCTGGTGGTACGGTTATCGGTCAAGTCGGTTTTGGTTGGCTCGCCGATATCGTTGGCCGCAAGCGAATGTACGGTCTCGAGTTGATCCTCATCATCTTCGCAACTCTTGCTCAGGCTCTGTCCTCCGACTCTCCTTCCATCTCCATTGTCGGTATCATCATCTTCTGGCGTGTAATGATGGGTATCGGTATTGGAGGCGATTACCCTCTTTCTTCCATCATCACTTCTGAGTGAGTTTTCCTGCGTTGTCTTGCATAGTTGTTGAGAAGCTCATTATTCCCAGGTTTGCCACTACCAAATGGAGAGGTGCCATGATGGGTGCGGTCTTTGCTATGCAAGGCATTGGCCAGTTTACCGCTGCCATTATTGCTTTAATTGTCGTTACTGGCTTCCACCAGTCTCTCAAGACTGCTAAAACCGTCGACCTCTGTGATGGTGTTTGCCAACTTGCTGTTGACAAGATGTGGCGTGTTATCATCGGCTTCGGCGCAGTTCCGGGCTGCATTGCCTTGTACTTCCGTCTCACCATCCCCGAGACGCCTCGTTATACCTTCGATGTTGCCCGTGACTCTGAGAAGGCTGTGGAGGACGTGAAGGCCTACCGATCTGGTCAACACGAGGGCCATCCCGACGAAGTCAGCCGCGCCGCTGCCTTGCAAGACTCGCGGCAGCGCCTCGAAACTCCCAAGGCCAGTTGGGCGGATTTCTGGCGACACTACACCCAGTGGAAGCACGGCAAGGTCCTGCTCGGAACTGCTGGTTCATGGTTCTTCCTCGATGTGGCCTTTTACGGCTTGGGCCTCAACAACTCCATTATTCTCCAAGCCATTGGCTACGCCAAGGGTGACAATGTCTACCAGATTTTCTACAATACCGCTGTTGGCAACCTTATTATTGTCTGCGCGGGTGCCATTCCAGGTTACTGGGTGACCGTTGCGACCGTTGATACTATTGGCCGCAAGACCATTCAGATGATGGGCTTCGTCCTTCTCACCATCATCTTCATTATCATCGGCTTCGCATACAATCATCTTCACGAAGGCGGTCTTCTGGCTCTCTACGTCCTCGCCCAGTTCTTTTTCAACTTCGGCCCCAACGCCACAACTTTCATTGTTCCCGGCGAATGCTTCCCGACCCGCTACCGATCCACCTCGCACGGTATCTCGGCCGCCTCGGGCAAGATCGGAGCAATTGTCGCTCAGACCGTCTTCGGCCCTCTCCGAACCAAGGGACATCCTACCAAGGACAACCCGTCTCCTTGGCTTGACCATGTCATGGAGATCTTCGCTCTCTTTATGCTCTGCGGCTGCTTCACGACTCTCCTCATCCCCGAGACCAAGCGCAAGACGCTCGAAGAACTTGCTGGTGAAGTACCCGGCACCAAGAACTATGACCCCGAATCTGCTGGTCATCGCAAGGAATCATATGTCGCCCAGACTACCGACCAGGGCGTCGTGGAGGGTGACAAGACTGCTTGAACGAGTTTCTTTTCTATAAGATCTTCTCCTGTCGTTGCCTCCAATATATACACATAACTTCCGTTTCTAGTGGACATCCACCGTGGGTCGTGGGTGGATAGTAGGGGTCTGTGTAGATTAATACAATAGTATACACATGATCCATGTTTTCTTGGTTTCCTGCGTCAACGCTTCTATTCTCCCGTAAGAGCACTCGAATTCTTACTGGGAACGGATGTTTGTTGACATCCATATAGGCGCGACAATGACCAACCTGCACCTGTATTTCGTGCATGTTGTTGATCACTTCCCAGTACAGGCAATTTGTATGGACATTGGGGGAAATGGCGGGAAGGAAAATATGCTGACGGGATGAATAGTAGCTCTTTCTCCTTGGATGACCCGTTCTGTTTGGGGGTTTGGGGGGGGGGGGGGAAACCTTCAAGGCAAAATACAAGAACAGCCCCCGGATATAATATCCGAGGCATCCGTGTCCCCGGTACGTTCGGCAAAGCTTGAGAAAAGCTTACCAGAAAGCTTACGTAGCGCACGAAAAGGCTGGCGAGCCGGGATTGTCCCCAGGCACGAGTTCTGTATAATATACCCCTGATCGCTCCTCCGTATCCTGCATATGCGCGCAAGAAGTAGATCCCTGGGGCTAGAGGTGGGGATCTTGACGAGGGTGCGGAAGAGGTCCCGAGTTCGAGATTGGAGATCCTGGGGCGCGGAGGGAGAGAGCTGCGGTTGGAATGATGTGTAAAAGAACCGGGTCATCTGCCTTTTCTCTACACATATACATATGTGTGCGAATACATATATATATATATATTCCGTTCTCTCAGTTGTCTTCCGCAATCGACCATAGGACATGGAAAGCAGGGCTTCCCGTCCGCTCAGCCGTACTTAAGCCATGTGCCGGTCAGTTAGTACTAACGTGGGTGACCAGTTGGGAATCCTGACTGTTGATTGTTTTTGCATGCCTTGCTTTTGTTTTCTTTTCCTCTTCCCTTTTTTTTCTTTTTTCTTTTTCTTTTTCTTTTTTCTTTTGTTTTTTTTTTTTTGCTCTGATCCAGAAGATGTGGGATGCCGAAGTTATCCGCATTTAAAGAGACTAAACAGTCGATGAAAAGAGCATCATCAAGATGGGTATATAGGTAGGTATGGTTGATGTTCTCTGCGAACGTTCTCGGACACTCCCGTTAGGAACCTGTTACAGTCACTCTTCGCTAACGTCAGTGCTTCTCTCATGAGAGTAGAGCGCTGAAGACGTTCACTCACTTGTTTTCGTGACCCCACGACCTGCGGTGAACTTTCAACTCGGCCCATTGTTATTCTCACAAGTTAACGTCGAATCGCGAAAATAGGTGAGTTACCGTCTTCAGCGCTCTCCTCTCGCAGTAGACACACTGACGTTGTCACCTATGCGTTAACTCGCATTCTTTTCACAGGCCTCATAAACGACAATGATCCTAGAGTATTTTCGAACATATTCTCCATTCCGGACCCCGTCGGATCTATTACAAGATACGTACCGTCGCAACACTTGTACCGTCTTCAGCTTCACAGTACGCATTCCTTGCTCTCTTGTCACATCATGGCATCTTCACAACAAACATCGACGACTTCCGCAAGACAAGCAGCATGGCGAAATACCGGATATCGGCAGCCCGGGAGCCGGGCATTTCACTATTGCCGTTCGAATAGCATTGAGTTCGCTAGGATTGGCCTGGATTGGCAGTCCTAGATGCGATCTTTGATTCCCTTGAATTGCCTGAGGAGACTTTTGCTGGATGTACTGACAGCAGACAAAACAGATACGCTGCATCAGTAGACGCTACATAATGCGTCGCCCTTTCCGCAGCCTCCGTTGTCCTTCAAGGCCGAGGCGACCGAGCGTCAGGTTGTGGACGATGTAGTGCGACTTCCCAGACAGCCACTCTCTCGCGGCGAAGTCTTAGGGCTAGTTCGTGTGCTCTGGAGTGCATTTTGAAGGAGAAAAATAAATGCATTGGAAAGACATCTGTTTGTTAAGATGACTTGTTGCTACCTGCAAATGACAGGGCTTGAAACAGGACAAGAACAGGGGTTGGAAATTAACCGACAAAAAGGTGTCTTCGGTGGGGGGCAGTTGGCACTCTGTGCTTCCTCAGGTTTGTCTCACTCGTTTTGTTCTCCGAAGTGAAGCTTCTCATGCAACCAGAACCAACGTGGTTGGAGATCCAAGATGCCCCATGGGCTACGTCGAAAACACCACCTCGGCTCTGAAGAGGCTTGATAGAAATGGCGTTGCGGGTTGCCTTGCAGCACCAGGCGAACTTCGGTTCGCATGCTCAGCCTCATAAAGCCCTCTGAGCCCACCAATGTGACTCAACCTATGTGCTATGGTCCTTCACCGACTTTCCGGTGCGTCTAATTGTTTTGTCTTTTTTCGCAGGCAGATTGATGGACGGCAGCTCTTCCGTGCTTGGTTTTCCGTGGGATGCCTTCAGTGCCGTGCAATGTACGACTTCTACTACGCCAAACTCCTGGATGACCCATCCAAATTTGAGCCTCGGGCGGGCAACAGATGGGTCGAGGTGCGGGAGCCAAATGTTAGCGACTACTTCAAGTGTCCTACCGGCACGTCAATTGACTTGTTACAGGCTGGCGGCGAGCTGGTGTTGCTTGATCGCGAAATTCCCGAGTCTGAGATCATAGATTTGATTGGTGCTGCTGCTTCTTTACCATCAGATGGAGCCTTCGACGACGGTCTTTCCAAAGGCCGCCTTCGACTCCAGCTTTTGATTGGGAGTCCGGAGCAGCACAAAAGCGATGCACAGATTTTAGCGCTGCCAATCTCTCGCGACACCTTCGAGACCGTCAGAACTGCTTGGAATCTGCCCCCAGAACTCCTCCGCATGATGCTGAGCACCCTGCCTATAGCCACGGAATTCCGGGCCAAGAACTCCGCTGGACAAGCGATAACGGCCCTCATGGTCCGAAGCGCGAGATCAAGAGATTGGAATTTTTGCCTTGGACTCGTTTATAACGAGGAAACAAGAGTCATATCTGGTATCGTAAACGGCATGCAAGCCGAGGAGACCGATTTGATGCTCGAATGTCTTCGCGAGTCTACAAGCTATCTGCAAGATCCTATGCTACTGCCAGTGTTCCTGCTGGAGCTTAAGGTCCACTATTTCGCTGTCCTTCTTGAGAAGCGAGCGCAAGGAATTGAAGATATTGAATACAGAACCGGCATGAGACATGGGTTTTCGACGAATCCGAGCCGGAACGCAGCACGAGATAGGGAAAGAGAAAAGCTGCTGAAAGAGCTCAATTTCGATGAGATTACTCAAAAGGTACCGTTTATCTTTCATTTTCGGAACAGGCTGACGGAAATTTGCAGCTGACAGGCGTCACTGGAACCCTATCCTTTTGTCACATGACATTTGCTTCCAGTCTTAGAGCTTTGGAGATAGTCTGTACGATCCGGAGTCGGCTCATCAGCCATTCTAAAGGGCGTCTGGAGGGCGTTGGCTTTAACATCCAAAACAGTCTTGACATGAGGATTTCGTATTTGCGAGAATTGATTGTTGGCGCCCAAGTTCATGGGGAAGTTTTGTCAGCACGGACACGGGCTCAAGTTCAGACAGTACAAAGGATTTCGAATCAAAGAACTCTCCGTGTTTGTGACCTTGCTGATGTAGCTACACAGGTCTACAGCATGATCGGTCAAAAGGACAATAAGCTCAACATCGAGACCGCGGCGGCTTCCAAGAGGATTGCAGAAATTGGCCTACTTCACAGTAACGCTATGAAGGACATGGCAGAAGATTCGAGGAATGCTGCTATCCTCACCCGCAAAGACAGCACGGACATGCGGATCATCGCAATGGTGACGCTCCTGTTCCTTCCAGGCACTTTTGTAAGTCAACACTCTCGTCAAGTTCACACCAAATACCGGCCCTTTGTGCCGAAGCAAACATGGCGAGATCTGGGCTTTGTGTATCGTGTACGGTTTTAACCCGGCCACTGACTTTGCGGGACTGAAAGATGGCAACGTTATTCAGTTCTGGCTTCTTCAACTTCTTGCCAGGAAGGTCTGATCAAGTCGTTTCGAAGTGGATATGGCTTTACTTCGCCTTGACTGGAGGGTCGACCTTTGTTGTCTTTCTCGCTTGGTACCTGTCGGCGAAGAAGCAGAACAAGGAGATACTGACAGTGGTGAACGGAGAAACACGTTCCTCCATGCCGGCAAACGCACAACTTGAACCCGAGCACAGTATAGTGACCACACCACCGGCTATTTCATCACTGTGGCTGGAGCGCTCTAAAATCAACTGGTGACATAGATCCATTCACCTCTTTTGGCAGCTCACCGGACACTGCCAGATAACTATGGCATTAGAAGCCCGCCACAGCCTACCTTGAAATCTTCGAGCTCTCAACCAGTGACGATCATCTCCTCCAAAGCATGATAGCAACTTCAAGCTCGATTGGACAGACGTGGGACAGTTACTAGACTGAGAACGGCGCAGGAACAGGCTCACAATACAGCTCTGGAGGGGCAACTAGCAACTCCTAGGTCCCTCGTGAGATTCCTTCCTCGGCGGGGTGGCATTCCGCCCCGGCGTGCCAAGGAGCTACGGCATTGTCGTGGCATTCGCTTCAGGAGGTCACAGCCCATCATTGGATGGCAGAGCTACGAAGACGGTAACACATATGCAGCCAAGGCTTTATCCAGGATCACAGCTTTTGATCGAGCTACATGTATCAGCGGGGTACAATTACTTGCTAATATCGATTTTCAGCCTAGCAGACAGCTTCAGTCACTCACATACTACCATACCAGCCGGGCAATCCGTCGACGCCCATACCGCAAAATGCAGGTACAACAGTCCACGTTGCTCAGTGCCCGATGCTATTTGCTCGATACCAGAGGCACCGCAACCGTGGTGCGATGTGTGCCGGGGGTCGGATTACTCTGTTAAGCTCCCGCAAAACAAAAGAAGCTCTCAAAAATTCCTAGATCTGAGGACGTGCCGTCGCTCGAATCGTCCACGTGCGATCATGACGGAGCCAAAACTTGCGTCGGATGGTCCAAAGAGCTACTGTATGAGCTTGCTGGATAGCTTTGCAGACCAGGGTCAAGTACAAAAAGGTTGATCTCCACCGTCCGTTGCGCGTTTTCTTCTACTCTTCTTGCGCAGGCCGGGCGGAGCAGAAATCAGAAACTTCTGGTAGAGCTTCAATCTCACTTGAAAATGCGCGCAACAACGGGTTGTTTGGCCATGATGGCCTTAGCAGTTGACATTGCCGGCGCGGTGCCCGTCAAAAAGCCTCGTTGGCAACACCCCGCGCACGATGACTACTACATCAACCTCGGGCCTCGCCCTTACTACCTTGTCCAGAATATGACCGACGGCCCGCTCAAGCAGAAGCTCGAGTCATGCTACAATGGTCCCTTTGAAGTCACCAGCTGGAGCATCGGCCATCGAGGCGGTGGTACGCTGCAGTTCCCCGAAGAGTCGGTCGAGTCCACCATGGCTGGCGCACGGATGGGCGCTGGAATCCTCGAGTGCGACGTGTCTTTCACAGCAGATCTGGAACTGGTCTGCAGACACTCCCTATGCGACCTCCACACGACGACCGATATCTTGCTCAGACCGGAGCTCGCCGCTAAGTGCACGGTGCCTTTCACACCTGCCAACGAAACAGCGGACGCCAATGCCCTGTGTTGCACCAGCGACATCACATTGGCCGAGTACAAGACCCTCTGTAGCAAGATGGACGGCTTCAATGCCTCGGCCACTACGCCAGAGGACTATCAGCACGGCACACCTTCCTTCAGGACTGATTTGTATAATACCTGCGCGCAGGTCATGACGCTCGAGAGCTACATCGACCTGGTGGACTCTCTGCCAGGATTCCGCAACTTCACGCCCGAGCTGAAGACTCCTCCATCGCAGGTTCCCATGCCGTTCCAAGGCTACACCCAGGCACAGTACGCAAGAGACATGATCGACACGTTCATCAAGAAGGGCATTTCGCACGAGCGAGTCTGGCCGCAGTCGTTCAATCCAGCGGACATCTACCTCTGGCTGAACGAGTATCCAGAATGGGGCGCGCAGGCCGTGTTTCTGGACGAAGACGGCGACGTGGCGTCGAACTTCACGACCGCGGTGAACCGACTGCCTGCCCTCAAGGCCAGCGGCGTCAACATCATCTCGCCGCCGTACAACTACCTGCTCGCAATCGGGGGTCCTAACAACGACACGATCGTGCCGTCCATCTACGCCACCACGGCCATGGAAGCCGGGCTCGACATTATCGCGTGGTCGTTCGAGCGCTCCGGCCCGCTCGACAACGTCCGCGCCGACGATGACTACTACTGGTCGTCCATCGCGCCCATAATCTCGTACGATGGGCAGGCGTACGAGGCCCTCGACGTCCTGGCCCGCCAGATCGGCATCAAGGCAATCTTCTCCGACTGGTCCGCCACCGTGACTTACTATGCCAATTGCATGGGCCTGAAGGGCCCGGGACATCATTGAAGAGGGAGATAAGTTTTAATGAATTGCATGACGACCAACTAAACCCAACCAAAGTAATCAATCAGCCGCCAGAACGGAGGCGATGCACTAGGGAAAAAAGTGTACATACATACTAGTAACTACATACTAGATACTACATATATACATCAAACATGCATCTACAACCCAGGAATATTCTGTAAGGAATAATCTGCGGACATACATAAATACATACATGACATACATGCAGAGAAACCTTGAATCGAATCTGAGTCAGTCAAGACTGGCCATTGCTCCCAAGAAGTCTACAGTATGTGACGGAGTATTTGTAACGTCTTACATTGCCTCGCCTCGCTGCGCCGTGCCTCGTGGGGAGTGGCCTCTTATTCATCGTGCCACACGCGGACATCACTGAGGCGAAAGGGTCAATCAGTCCATCCGCTGTGCCTACGGGTGAAGGAAAGAACTGTAGAGCTAGCGTGATAAGCAGGGGCCCGAGGGTATATCTACATGCAATACACAAACGCTTTTCCAATGTGTTCCCATCCCACGACGCGATGAGGCATGAGTCAGCGAGCCAGTCAAAAATATGCGAGTTTGAATCCAGGCACTAAACCCCTTCGTCGATCTACATTGCATGGATATCGGTATGGGTGACATTCCACTCTGTCAGCCACGCCATGACGGCCTCGACTTCGATAGTCTTCGCGCGCTGGACGGCCAGGGGCATCTCCACAGCCGTCTCGTTCTGGAATAGGCCTGGGAAATCCCACTCGTGGAAGCCTCCCTGGATGATTATCTGCGGCGTGGTGATCGACGACGACGACGACGACGACCCGTTGTTATAGTCGCCATTGTCGTTGATGTTCCGGACGAGCCTGGGATTTGGGTCTCCGTTCTCCAGAAATTCCGCCAGAGGACCAAGGCCGCGGTGGTAGTCCAGCTGGCCCGTGGAGACGGCTAGACGGAGATACGACAAGCTGGGCCCGCCGTACTTGTTCAGCCAAACGAGCTGCGGCTCGTATGTGATGTTGTACGCCCTGTGGCATCTGTCGAGGAAGTACGCCGGCGACAGCATGCAGGAGGCCATGGGCGGCAGGTGCGGATGGCCCTCCGAGCCCAGCGTATAGCCCATCGCCAAACCGCCGGATTCGGTACGGGTGAGCCAGCCGTATGGGGAAGGACGGCCCAGCGATAGCCAATCGTGAACAGATCTCCCCGCGCAGTAGGTAGAGCTTTCTCGTATGTGGGAGAAGAAATTGAGGAGCGGGTAGTAAAGGGCTGTGGCGTTGGCAGTGGCGGTCCTATTAGCGTAGCTAAGGAGCGAGTGAGCCGTTGTGCGCAGGGTTTCGGTTGTAGGATAATGCGAGGCTTGGGAGGTTATGGGGTCACAGTAAGAACCTGGGCCTATGGAGGGACGAAGGGGGCCGTGGTCAACTTGAGACTTTTGTATTTCCCCACTGTGATTCGCATTTCGGTCGGGCTTACCAGTGAAAGGGAAAGGCTTTCTATGCCAGACCTGATTCCACGCCGACAACGGACTGGTCAGAAGGAATGCTAGGTCAGGATATGTCGACGACTGCGAGACGTTGAAGGCAGCCTTAAGCTGGAATAGTGCCGCTTCATTACCGCTTTCGTAGACGTTATCTATTAGGCTGGTTATTTGCTGGTGAGCTTCGACGCATTCCGGTGGAGCGTGACGTCGTATCATATCGAATAACTGCCAGTTATCGAGTACCCCAGTCGTGACTCCAGAAGATGCCAGCCCGGCCCAGAACAGGTCTGGGTAGTGATGCGAGTAAATGCAGATATCACGCCGCCGTAGGAGCCACCAAAGATGATCCAGGGAGTGCCGCGAGGTCCCTGTCTTCCAGGCCCCAGAATGTGGCTCTCTGAGCGAAGTACGCGAGGTCTGCTAAGGCTTGCTCGGTGCTGTGGAAGCGAAGGTTTTCTGTAGTAGATCGATGATCTGGGACGATATCGTAGCCGCCAGAGTAGTATCTACGTGAACAATTAGGATCATGGCTTTGTGCTGAAAAAAGAACGAGTCTATATACCTTTGGCCCCAAAGAACGGCGACAACCACCAGTAGCATTGGCGATTTCGCGGAGCATTCCCTTTTGGCGCCATTCAAGGCCATACTCGGGGCTATATTCACCTATGGCATGGATGATCACTGGGCCTCCTGGAACGTAATTGCTTATATCGACCCAGTAGTGCTGTTGGAAAGTGGCGTTCGTATGGGGTTCATATCGGGATATGTTGTGAAAATGGTCAATGGTCATGGTGAAATTCTGCGTACTATTCTCCGCGTCAGATGGGTGTATATAGGGTATGGAGCTCGCTTAGGTGGTGGCGGTTTTTTGCCAGAACAGAGGACACTGATGCAAAAGAGAATGGGAAACCTGGTTGATACTCAGGGATACCGGGCGAGCAGCTCTCTCCCATGCGTCTGATGCCCAACGACTGGACAGGGCCTTGTTCGGAAACATCCTGCCGAAACTGTGAGACCTCACAATTCAGCATTCAGGTTTAGTCGTCGGAGACATACAATCCCGCTATTGTCCCTAGAAGGAGGATCAAAACAACCAAGACTGCTGCCACTCTGCACAACAACCCATTGGATATCTTCATTGCGACCATGGAGATTATCTTGAAGTATGCTCAATCCATACACGACAAACGAACCTTCAAATCACGCCTTCAGCTCTTGCCGCTCCCATAGCCGTAGCCTCTAGGACGCTAGACGCATATGTTGTTGCTGCGCTATCAGAGGAGACTAGGGGTGGGTGCCTCAGTTCAGGAGTTGACTCAGCAGGTTCTGAAGCTAGCAACCCTTATGGCGTTGAGCGTGCTGATTGTGTTCCTGAGTGTAGTTCATTTCAATTCAAAGGTACGAGGACCCAAGAACAGCAAGATCTGAAAAGTGTGAAGGATGTTTGTGTTCGGATTCGAACTTGAGTGAAACTGCATCGCGGCTTCAGAGCAATTTGAGCCGTTTCACTAAGTGGATGTGCTAGTCGCCGATCAGGCCGTGCTCACCGGCCCGATGTTTAGGCGTAGAGCCGACAGCCTTGCCCACTCTGTTTAATTTGAGAGCGGCCAATCGGCCCACGGTAACACGCGTTCTACGGGACAAGAACGCTAAAGACGAACCCCTGGACCAAGGTCCGTCCTCGGGATCCCAGCTCTCACATTGGCACCACGCTCTGAACAGTTCATCTTCAGCCCTGCGGCCCTCGAAACGACACCGTGAATTCTGGGAAATGGCGGTGATTTGATTCACATGTGGCATCGAACTCGTGAGCAAAATAACGCGCGAAAAGCGAGCAGGAATGCACCGACTTCGAATGCCGGCCTGGTTTTGTTTGGAGTAGCGTCTGCCCTGTTTGATCGGAAGTGGGAGGGCATATCGTTCCACGAGCTCGGTGGTTGATTGCATTCGACGAAATATTGCCAGCTGTGCATTGCATACCTCCGTGTCTACTCCGTCAAGCAGACACTGGTGAGCTGAACGGATGCTATACAGAGTTGATTGGAACGTTGAGTGGCAGAGATGCATCAACATATCCACTGTCGGACCGGCAATGGCCATGTTGATCTTGTTGGTCACGGCAGAGGTACACTCTAACCTGCTGTCCCCGGCTTCCGGCCGTACACGTTGTAGCTGGGTTCGATCCTGTTAGCCATACAAGGCACACCGAACCCAGGCCTCAGGGCGGACTTACAATTGCACATAGGTGTGGATGTTGCGGTCCAAGATTTCCTTCCTCGTGTGGGCGAGCATGACCTGAAGCTCAGCTGGATCCATTCCAAGAAGGGCAACAGCACCTCTCTCAAACCCGGCTTGCGCGTATTGAAAGAAGTTCTGAACCTCGAGCGCCCCAATAGTTTTCAACCTTTTGTCTTTCGGCCAGCGATTCGTCGGGATTTTGAAGACGGTCTGCTGGACATCCTCGAAGCCACGGTCTAGCAGTTGTTGCCGCCACAATTTACAAGCGTTGCCGTCGATGCCCATTGCCTTTGCGATCTTGAAGAAGAGTTTGCCCATTTCAGTGTAGGTTGAATCTGGCGGACAGCTGTCGTCGTCACAGCCGACCTCGGGGACTGTGACGGCAAGCTCGAAATACCCCCCCGGTCTCAGACTTTCATATGCTTGCGAGATGAGTGTCGGCCAGTCTCTGATGGCAAAGAGAAATTCCCTGGCGTGGATCAAATCGAACATGTCCCTCCGAAAGTCCCAGTCTGTTTCGACATCCAGAATCTCGAAGTGACAGTTTGGCGGCATCCAGGTGTCCTGCACAGCTGCAATATCAACGCCAACGACTCGTGCCGTGGGATAAAGGTCAGCAGTCTCGATGGCCCAGATCCCGCTTCCGGTGCCTAGGTCAAGGATATTCTGAGGGTCAGGGGCAATAGGAGCGAGGTGGAGGCGCCCCTCGTAGAGAAGGAAGAATTTGTAATGTTGCAAGTCATTCCGCTGTTGTTCCTCGTTGTCGATGGGAAGACCGTAGAAATGCCTCCCGTAAGACGCCCACCGTCGACCGTACTCTTCAATCCCTTCACGGATCTCTGTTGCTATACTATTGTGACGGTCAGAAGTCTAGACGCGGAGGCTTAGAAGTAGATTCCCACCTTGTTACATAGCTAGTATTTGCCGAAGTGCTGGCATAGCCTTCGTCGACAAACCCGGTGAGCTCGTCAGCCTCCATGAGAGAGGACTGAGGTCAGGTCGGTCGGTCGCGTGCCAGGAGGGTGTAGCTGGAGGATGAGAAGCTCTGAGGACAGTGGAGAGGCCATGGTGACGCGAGGATGCGGGAGGGGTGATGGCCTTCTTTTAGGATTCAACGAAGGATGCGAGATACGTAGGGGGTAATATTGGGCGCTGATTGATGGGGAATTCTTTTCCTCGTGCCGCTGTGTGATGGGTGACCCAGTGCTCGAGCGAACAGGCGAGCAGGATCGTGGCTAGCCAGCTAGTGAATCTCCACGGGCTCATTTTCCACGTGCTGCGTAAGCGGCATTGTGTGCCTGCCACTCGCCTAGAAACTCACTCTACTGTAGGATAAGTACCGACCATCAACCAACCAGCCACCAATGTAAACGAACATCGACGCTCCCGCTCGCTGTAACTAGCCATTGCAACAGGATGATAAGAACTTATGAGTTGGCATCTGGCCCACTTCCACTCAAGAGACTGCTGAGGCTTCTACCGAGTACGGCAACGGGAACCTGTTCCTGGCGATCCATTCATTCTCCATCGAGCTCTCGAGTCCTTTTGACTTTAGAAACCTTCTTCTGTCTGCGCGGTATTCCTCACATTGGCAATGTCGTCGTCGCCAGAACAAGACCAAGCTGCCCAGTTGCAGGACTTGATACAACAACTCACCGACGCCGCCAAAGCCTGCGACTACTCGCCAGGCACCAAGGGCTACATCTCCCGGGCCAATGTCGCTGCCATCGCCAAGGACGTTGTCCGTCTCGTGATGGCACCGTCGGACATGTCAATGCACCACTCGGTCAATGTCCGTGATGCTCGACCCCGAGGATGGTGAAGCTGACAGGTTGCTGACCAATGGCAGATGCTGGAGATTGTCTGTCTGCGAACCTTGATGGGGCTGGGCGTGTTCGAAAAGATACCTGTAGACGGCTCCATCTCGCTGGCTGAGCTGTCAAAAGTTACAGGTGTCCAGGATTCGCTGCTAGGTATTGGTTGATCAATGTTTTATCCAACCGGGTTGAGGTCTCCAGACTGATCATTGCCCCCATTAACAAAAGAACGACAACTTCGATTGCTTGTGGGCACCAAATTCCTCGAGCAAACCCCCCATGACGAATATGCGCACACCAAGTTCTCTAGAGCATACATCCAGGTCCCAGGCCCAGGCAACTTCTTCCAGTTCATGAACGATGAATGCCTGTCCACACTGGTCCATCTCCACAGCTATGTGAAAGAACGTGCGGCCCAGGATGGCAAGCCCGTGCAAGAACCCGATGATCCTCTACGCAACCCATACACCCATCGCCATGGCATGGATGGACACCCTGTGTGGGAGATAATGGCACAATTTCCCGATCGTCTTCGCGCGTTCCAACTGGGCTTCATGTCTCAAGAGGATTCTGTCCCGATCATTGGTTTCTATGACTTCTCTGCGCTCTATGATCCGGACCACGATGGGGACAGAGCCACCCTGGTCGACGTCGGTGGCGGGCAGGGCCAATCCATCCTCCAAATCCTCGAGGCCTTCCCAACCCTCCGCCCAGACCACATGGTTCTTCAAGACCTGCCCGAACCCATCGCCCAGGGGAAAGACTCCAAACTGCTCCCTGAGGGCGTCACCGCCATGGTACACGACTTCTGGACACCACAGCCCGTCAAGGGCGCCAAGGCGTACTTCCTCCGCCGCGTGATGCATGACTACTCAGACGAAAACTGCGTCAAGATCCTCTCGCACCTGCGCGATGCCATGAGTCCGGACAGCAAAGTCCTCATCGCCGACATGGTCATGCCCAAGCGCGTCCATGAAGCCGACTTGCCCGCCGCCGCCATGGACAACTGCGTAATGGTCATGGGTGGGAAGGAGAGGACTGCTAATGGATTCAACAGGGTCCTGGAGGACGCCGGGTTGAAGATGGTCAAGATCTGGCACAGTCGCGAGGGCGGCGCGACGGGGAACATCGTCGAGGCCATGTTGCCAGCGGCAACCTCGTAGATCATGTATGTATAATGATGATCGTTGTGGGAATTGAGTCGCGTCTCATGAAAGACCTCCGAGAACACAGTGCCATGATACAAAGTTGGAATCGACGATCACTAGGTCGAAGACACGCTCATTATAGAATGAGACAGGATAGGGGCGCCGCGCGAAGGTCAGGAGCATTTATAGGCGTGAAGAGATGATATGGAGGATTCCTTGGAAAGAATACATACATACAGTGTCTTCAAACTCCGCCGACGCAAGCAGGGAGTCTTCTCGCCTGGAAGCGAAGGCTACGAGGAAATAAATGGACAGGAGAAAGGACGTTTTCGCGTGGAAGAATTCATGTATACGAATTTCATGTCATTGTCTGATTCAGCCACCTGTTTCAGCCCACAGGCGCCTAGCTAGGCTGGTACTCCCTTTTCAACGCCGAGGAAAAATGAAAAAGAAACAACACCGAGCCGTCATCGCTATGCCCATTTGAATATTATTATTTTTACATTTTTTATTTTTCCTTCTTGCCGGCCTTGCTCGGCTTCTTGCGAGCGGCCCCTTCTGCAGCACCGGCGCCCGCGGCCTTGATCTTGAGCTTGATTTGTGGCTCGGAGCTCGCATCTCTTGTCGCCTTGGTTGGCGTCGCTTGGACCGCCACGTCACCATTGGCCTCTTTGGCTGGGCTTGCGCCCGCCTTGCTATCGTCAACATTGTTGACTTCCTTCAACTTGCTCGGAGGAGCCTTTTTGTCTCCCCTCTTTCCCTCTGCGCCGGTCCTCTGCTTCTTGTTCTTCGTGCCGGCCCCGGCGATGCTCTTGTCGTCGTCGTCTGCCTTTCTCTTGACACCGCCGTTCGTGCTTGGTTTGGGTGAACTGGCTCTGCTGTCGCGTGGAGTACCACCAATCTTTGCGTTCGCTTCGCGGCCAGCAGCCCGATCTTTCTTGAGGTAGCAGCTTCCATTGAGATGTGTGGCGAAGACATTGACGGATTTCCAGTGGTCCCCAAGGTGGGAGTCACGGTTGGGGCATTTGGCAGCTGGATAGTCGATCTCTTTGAATTCAAATGACTCTGTGGGCATAGACGATGATGGAGTCAGTGGGTCAGAGTTCTCAGACGCAGCCGGCGAGCTGGGGTCATCTTTCTTTTTGTTTTTCCTGCCTTTGGCCTGACCCTTGACTTTGACGCCTTTCTTGCGTTGGCCATGCACATCGTGTTTGTCAAGAACAATCATAGGTTCGGTTTTGCAGTACTGTTCACTGGCATCTGGGACAGGGCGAGAGTTGTAGCCGACACGGGGATATAGCAAACGGCGGAGACCACAATTCGGGCATCTGATATGCTTGACCGTCTTCATTGGGTTTCCTTTGAGCTGTACCAGACCGGACTTGAACACGGCAGCGTCAGTTTCGACAGTGCCAGGTTCGATATCGTCAGTGTTTTCAGTGCCTTTCGAGGTTTTGTGACCCAGTTTCTCAGCCCTCTGCTCGACTTCAAGGACAGCAGTCTGCATGCGAGCGATCTTTTCATCTTGGTGGATGTCGAGAAGAAGATCATGAAGAATACTTTCGATTGACTGTTCTAAGAGATAAGTGACCTAAAAGGTGTCAGCGGAAGAAGCATGAAGCGACCTTTTTTTGGCCAACTGACCGCCTGTTCTTGATCAGACGTGGTCAAGCTAACGCTGGAAGACTTTGAGCTGGAAAGTTTTGTGGAAGCCATATCAAGAACGTCCTTGACTGGAGGTGGACAGTCAGCTGTGATTTCCTCATCTTCCACGAAGCGGTTCCACAAGTCGACGTCGATAATGCTGTTTGGGAACAAGGAGACGTATGGTCTGCTGGGAGTCATACTGGGAGAACAAGAACAAGGGAAAATGTAAGGGCTGACCAGCAGCCCGGTGCAGTATAACAAGACAGGAGCTGGGGAAAAGTAGTGCGTTTGTCTTCGTCGGAGTACAACTATGAGGGAAAGGAAGTAGGAAATATTTAATCCAAGACGCATGACAGCAGAAGCTGAATGGTCTATTGACAGCGGCACATAATGAAAAATAACAGAATTCATGGTGTTGTACACTATTGTCCGGCAGCGTATTCACTTACTGGAATTGTGATCTGAGTGGAAGACTTTGCGCCTCTGTACTCTGCCTATTCAAACACCTTCACACCCTACCGCACCCGACAACCTTCTATTCATTCAATAGCATCCATGTATTTTTTTTTATCGGGCCACTCAATTTATATTGTCTCGCTCTGGAGAAGCGGGGTGGTGACGGATGTAGAGGGAGCGCACGCACTCCGGGGAAGGATCTTGCGCACTCGAGGAGGCTCGTGCTCGTTAGACGCACGGCTTGGTGTCTGGAAGTCCGGCAACTAGATGTTGAAGAGAGGCTCAAGGAGTGCTCCGGCAGCAACTGGATATGGCTATACCAACAAAACGTGAGAAATCATTCAGGGGTCCGGCGCGGCTGTGGAAGTGAATGTGATGATGCAGGACGCAGAAAAGAAAAATGCCGGTATGGGGTTTTGCTTAGGGTTTCTCAGGGTTCGCTAAGGTCACTCAATAAGCACCGATAACCTTCTTTTTAGCGCCGGTAATTGCCGCCCCCGATCGCCACAGCGCCAATCCTTTCGGGCGACCGGCATCTTTTGGTTATTAACAGCTGTCCATCGCGGGGATTCTTGAGCACTGTGCCAGCTTCGGTAGAGCTTAGGATTCCATGAGGAAGGCTATGTCAACATGCCCCAAGCTAGTCTTCTTTCGTATTTCTCTAAACCGGGGACTCCAACGCTCTCCATTTCGATAAACCCCAGAGAAAAGGTTTCCGACAAAAATGATAACGACGCGTGTCCGCGTCTGCGTGTTTCTGACAGCCAGGGGCCGGGTATAATCGAGGCAGCACCGAAGCAAGCCTCTCAGCAACCGTCCGTCCACACTTTGAAAGCCAAAAAAGACCAAGTCGAAATCTGGAGACCTGACAATGTCGCCCATGAGCCAAAGCGTGCAATCATGGAAGCTCAGACTACTTCAAGCAACCGCGTACAGCACTTTGAGGTAGTCTCGGTTCCCCATCTCCCGGACGCTCTTGTCGCATCAGTCTCAGCAGAACACCTTCCTGCGATTCAGCGTCTGACAGCCACAACCCTCCCTGTTCGATACAGCGATGCTTTCTTTACCACGACATTGACTGACCCAATCGTCAGCCAACTTTCTCGCGTCGTCCTTTACGCGTCGCAGCCTGTTGGCTGGATCCGCTGTCGCTTAGAGCCATGCTCGCCCAATATTTCATTTCCCTCTCAGAGAAACCGGCCACCTTCCCAGATCTATATCCAAGCTCTAGCTCTCCTTTCGCCATATCGTGGTCTCGGCCTTGCAACACTGCTGCTGGACACTATCCTGTCCTCGGCTGGTGCTCAAGCTGCGGACACAGTGTGCATCTATGCACACGTGTGGGAGAAGAACGACAACGCGTTGGAGTGGTACGCCAATCGTGGCTTTAAGCGGGTTATGCTTGTTGAGCACTATTACAGAAAGCTGAGACCGAGTGGTGCTTGGATGGTTAGGAAAGAATTGGATGGAACATGACTTCTTTGCCTTAGTCGAAAGCCTCTTTCGATTCTTGCGCCTCGAATTATTCTATTACGAGAGTTTCGAGCCACGACGACCTAGTTGCGTACGCTAACGTGGCTAGCTAGCAAGAGCTCCTACCTATGCTTTGCTTGCCGCACAAGCTCGAAGGTACCCATGAATGCACTGTGAGCACAGCACTGGTGGACTGTCTGTGCGAAGACCACATTGCAGGCAAGTCTCAACATGTGGGGTATGCGGAACCAGTGCCTTTGGCGGTCGGAGTAAACCCCCCCCCACAAATAACCAGAAGGATTCGGGGCCTGCAAAGAATATCGGGAGAGATGGGACGTCTTCTCAAATCAATGGAAAGAATTGAGGAGATGATGTGCGCCTATATCTCCCCCATCCGTACTCCAGGACACTGAATTCCTCGATCAGGCTCCGATTCCTTTCGACACCACAGGAGAGGAGGACAATAGTCAACGTCGACCTGTGGAGGTGATGCAGTACTCAACAATATTGCGGCCGTTACAACGAGCCAATCCACACAACACTACAGGAAGACCGTAATCCATTCGCAACCTTTTTTCACGAGTTCGGATCAGGACCAAACCCTCCATAGACCGACAGATCTGTAGGATACAATGACAGCATCGAACATCCCATCACCCGGTAGCGCCTCGTGATGTGTGCCTAAAATAGTCGTTTCTGGAGAGATAGTAGCCTTCGGCTCCCTATGACGGCCTTCAAATTGTTCTCTAGCGAAGCTGGAAAAGCTAGATCAACCCTAGCTGCGAGAAAGAGGTCAGACGCAGGTTTGGAACAGGCCTAATATCTTAGGTAGGATGTACAAGGCTCCTTTCAGGCTTTGTATTCCACTAGTATGTGATACTTTGATTTATATACACTGGGTTCCGAGCCTTCAATGGAATGAAGGGCTTTCCGCCACAGAGTCATGGCTTTACAGTACAGACGAGACATAGTTCTCCTCCATCTTCCGTACCTCCCGCTTGAAGATCTCCACTTCCTTCCAGCAGTCGAGCGGTTTCCGGTCGTTTATCCGCAAGCAGGAAATGACATCTTGTCTCCTGGTTTTCAACCGTTAGCTTACTCGTAGAAGCGCTCAGAGCACACATTCATGTTCCAGCAGGAGTTTGACTTACGCATTCTCCACTTCCTTCGGCACCTCTCTTAGCGTTTTCCGCTGTCCCAGTGTCTGCTTCAATTTCTCGATCTCCTGTTGCACTTTCTGGCTTGACGGAGCATTCCGTCTCTTTTCCTCATCACTGTCTGAGCCTGGAAGGAGGTCCTTGGGCGATATTTGAAGGAGTGACGAGTCTGACGAAGTCGAATCCGAGGTTGCCTCTCCGCTTTCAGCAATCTTCTTCCGTGCCTCCTCGAGGACTGAGGATTCGTGATTCCTGATCTTTTCTAGCTCGGCGGCCACGCGTTGTGCGATATGCAGCTCTAGTGTCTTTGCACGAGTCGAGTTTGTCTATATCAAAAACAGGTAGTGAGCATAACCTCCTGCGCCGTGGTAAAAGCTGTTTTTCGGACCGCGGTGGGAGCAGACATACTTCTGAGGATGCTTGAAGGGAGTCTATTAACCTGTAATACCTGTCAGTTGGGCTGGGAACAGCGATGGGCGCTAACAGCGCAATCATAGGGCCATGGGCATACTCTTGAGAAAACTGAATAGGTGTATCACTGGTGAAAACATGCTTGGTGGACTCGTTGGGTTTCGATTGACCTGCGCCCATTGTCGCGGCTGGTTCGGGGGCGTCAGCAGTTGTGTCGCTCTGTTACGACCTTATTGTGACATACCCCGGATTCACTTCGAACTGCTCACAGGGTAGAGGTCTTGACAAACAGGACCTTGCTGTCGCTTCCCGACACCTCTCTCGAAGCTCCAATAATTGCATTGACTGACGGAAATAAAACTCTTGGCGGGCTCCAGCACCACCAAAAAAACTCCTCCAAGCTTCTAGAGGAGCGCATATGACAACTGCCGCTTTAAAGCTCACTGACTCCAGCTCTGACAGGTTATCCTCCTTTTGGTCCTCACCACTACTCGTGTTCCTCTCCTCCGTCCCCTCATATCGCGTTAAAAGTCCCACTTACCATGCAGCAAGATGCAACTATCAACGGGCCGTCGGAATCTAGTGAAGAGCTGGTCGAAAATTATCACGCGAAAACCGCAAATGAGATTCACCCAAAGAAAATCCGAGCTAGTAGTTGGGTGGTAGTTCCACTCTTGATACGTGGACAACGCTCCCTCGTCAGCATGCTGCACACACCCAGAAGCAGTCGTTGCTCGGTGCATGTCAACGTGGAAGTGGGGGAATCATGCAAGCGACGCGGAGTTCTCCCAATCTTCTGGGTCTTGAAGACCTGGTGCTCCCCTTCCTGTGTTACCTGGTCAATTCTCGACCTCTAAGCATATGCTTCCCAGCAAGCAGGGTTGAAAATGCGTGTTGCCATCATTGGAGCCGGACCAGGAGGCCTGGTCACGTTGAAGTACCTCCTTCAAGCAAATCAGGACTTCAATGTCGCACCCATTGAGGCCAGACTCTTTGAAGCCCAAGATGACATTGGAGGCACATTCCGCTATCGCACCTATCCAGAGGGCGAGGTAACACAGGGCCTTTTCCCACAATCCAGTAGTGACTGGGCTGATTCTAAGCAGATGGTGTCTTCCAAAGCCTTGACCACTTTCTCAGACTTCAGGATACCGCCAGAACGGACTGATTGCGGTGACTTTCTCTCCATGGCCCAGTATATCGAGTACCTCGACAATTACTGCGATCATTTCAAATTACGACCTCACATCAATCTCAATACTGCAGTAACGAATGTACGACGGGGCAAAGATGGCAAGGGTCATATCGTGACCTATTCTTCAAAGGACGGGATAACTGAGGAATGGGCCTGCGATGCTGTCGCAGTGTGCTCAGGGCTGCATGTGAACAAGGTGGTGCCCACGATTCCCGGAATCGAGAAAGTGCCCACTGTCATCCATTCCTCTCAGTACAAAGGCCGAGATATATTTACCGAAGGCAGCAATGTCGTGATCCTTGGTGTTGGAGAAACGGCAATGGACATGGCATATTTTGCGGTGACTTCTCCTACCAATTCGGTGACGCTTTGTCATCGAAATGGATTCGTCCTGGCGCCAAAGGTAAGATACCTCTTTCGTGTGTGGAGATTCTCGATATAGTGACCTCTGCTATCGACAGCATGTTGAACGTTTCGTCGTCATGGGGAAGCGGGAAGCCGAGTAC